ATGATTCTTGCAGTATAGAAATATCAAACAATGTCAGTGGAACTCTTTTTATTATTATCCTTTAATACTTTTTCCCCAGAAGTTTCATTTTGCTTCAGTCGTGTGCAGTCACATTAAACTTGTCTTTCCAGAAGTTTGATATAGAGGAATGAAAAGTTACATGTTTGTTTTCTGACTTTAAGTAGCACATGCTAAGCTTTTCAAGAACACAGAATCCATTAAGTATTCTATAGTTTTGTTGCAGATAGAACCAAGAGTGAAGATTTTTACTATGACAAAGGATACTTTGCTTCCTATACAGTATATAGGAAACTTTACCTTTGAAAACTACTGATAAACTGCAGTTGTTAAATATGTAGCTTTCCATTCAGCAATGTACCTTGCAGAAATTATTTTAGTTTCTAATAGTTTCAGAGTTTGAATCACAGGGCTTATATTAATTTACAATTCCTATATGGCCTGGCTCTAGGTTCCAGTGAAGTCTACAGGTCCCTAATCTCACTTTTTCAAGACATCTAGCTGTTTCACACTTTTAAAAAAATCAATCTCCTTTACCATAGTGGTGACTTCTTTACCATGAGACAATTCAAGGACTGTCTGTTCTCATTAAATTCATTATATACATTCTTTGCATTTCTAGAGTCATTAGTTAAATTTTAAGGAATTTTATAACTTTTAATTATTATCACTATTATAAATATTTACTTTCTTACCCATTTATAATACATTACTATAAAATATACAGCATGCTATAATCTGAAACTTAAAATAATCCAATTAAACATTCTAGATATTGTATCACTCTGAGTAGCAAAGCTGCTTTATACAATCTCATACTGAATTATAGTGGTGACTGAACATTGCTTTTCTGTTCTCTACAAAGTCATCACTGATTTATTAACTAAAGAAGAGGCAATCATTATTTAATGACCACAATTGATTTGGATGAATTAAGCAAAATAATCAATAAGTGAATCATAACTCAGAGAGAGAGAAAGAGAGAGTCTGCAATGAAATATGCTTCCATTTCATTCAAATAAGCTCTCTGTATAGTATTCTGTGCCTGTTTTGTTTTTGTTTCTTGCCCTCTCCCAGAGCAGAGATTGCTTAAAGAAGCTATATTTTCCTGAGCTGTTTTTCTCAACAGGGCAGCACTTTCCTAAAAAGTGCTAACTGCAATTTAATAAGCTCAGACCTTAATTAGAATCCTCTGTCCAGCTCCCAACTGCTGCTTGAAACTGACCAGGCATTAATCAGTTTCACCCTGAAGGCTTTTGTTGTTGTCATAAATTCTGGTATTGATTGGAAAATGTTTTTTTTTTAATTATGATATACTAGCATTGTATTTGTGAATGGTCTCTGAAGTAGTTCCTAAATGAGGACTACCTATGCATTTTTTTTCCAATTCCCAAGACAGTTAGTTTATAAAGTTTTATTTAATTACTTGCACAAGATTGAATAAAAGGGGAATGCAGGAGAATATAGCTAATTGGTTTTAACTTTCTCCAGCAGAAATGCTTTTGTAGATAGTTATCACTTTAATTGTTGATAGCAGTTTATCAAATCTGTCCACAGTCAAAGCATGTGTTGGGCAAAAGATGTTAGCACAGTAAAAGGCTGCTGAAAAGAATCTTCCATTTCTACATGCCATTCTGAATATAGTGACAATGTCATTGTTGGTCATTGATCATTGTTATTTCATGAGTTTAGTGACATATTTTGATTTTTCTTTCATATTAAGAAAAGTCTAGAAGTTTATAACTCATTCTGAGCTAGCCTGCTTGTTTTTCATTGTGTTTACTGAATAAAGGAGAAGGAGGGAGGAATCTTCATTCACTTTAAAGCTTTTCTTGCTGTGAAAGTCTCAGACTTTCAATTCCCATCCCAGAGTCATGTGCCAGTCAGTCAAGGTTAGGTCTTGCAGTCTACTGAACATAGCATGAAGTCATGGTGCCAGGTTTTGATAAAAACCTTGGAGTTGTTATTAATTGTTGGGAGCTTTTGTATGAGATCTAGCACTAGTTATTGTGGAAACTGGCCATCCTGTAGTGTCTCTATTATATTATGTATGCTTTTTATGTTATGGTTTTAATTCTGCTTGCCTGAGCTAATTCTAAAGCATAAAATCCCTTTATTTACTGGTGTGCTTATTACTTCTGGATCCAAAAGAACCAATTGCCTGATCATCCTGACATTTGGTAAAAAAAATGGACTGTGAAACCTAGCACTAGAAATTTGTTTTTTCTGTACAGTTAGGTCAAAGATCCACTGTTTCAGCCCAGTCGCAGCTCTCTCAAATCCAACTGAATCCAAATATTAAATGGAAAAGTGTGAGATATAAAACCCCCAAATTTTGATACTCACAATATGAAGACAAGTCTGGTTAACAAAAGCAAAGTTTTATTGGAGAAAAACATTAAAAAAATAGAAAAGAAAAGAAAAACGTTTGCAAACAGGCCTCTTGAACTCTTCCCAAGATGGATTGAGTTCCAAGAGTGCAACAAGCAGTTTCCAAGCTATACATTTTATACCTTTTACAATGCAGTCATGCCTAAGAAACCCTCCCAACTTCCCTTTATTCTTTGAAATTGCTTTAAACTTAAAGGTCATCCTGGGAATTTCCTTCCATCTGCTGTGGTCTTATCTTTGTTTATTTGTAATTTCCACTCTGTGATCTTATCTTTGTTTATTTGTAATTTCCACTCAAGTTGGTCATAATTAATTATCTTTGCTAATTACTTTTTGTGATCACTTCACATGGACAGGGAACAGTAAACATTCCTTCTTATACATTGTCATTGCATTGTTACATTTACATTACATTAATACATTTGTGCTAAACATACAGTCTCATACATTGTTACATTAGAACTTTATTGTTATATTTTATAAAAGAATAACTTTTATTTCCTTCAAAAGCAACAAGATTTTAAATCTGAATTTATGTTGTTATCCTTGAGACTAAGAAAATTATGCCAAACTGTCATGAAGGCCAAAAGGACTCTTGTAATAAGTAAGTTTATGTTGTCAGAACCACATGCAGGATTGTATTGAAATCAGGCAGATGTCAGCATTAATAAGGAATTGGATTCACAGAAGGCAACATCTACTAAAACCCTAAGATTTTTGGTTAAACAGTTTTAAGAGTTCAAAATGTTTAAATATAATTTTAATTTGTATTAGTTTAGTAAACAGAAACAGTAAAATAAACAAAACAAAGAAAAAATAGGAAAGAAATAGCAAGAGATAATTACATGCATAGTAGTATAATTCTTAATTCATCTACAATGTTATTTATCTTTAAAAACAGTATCTCCAGGACAAAAATCCAATGCAGATCTGGATATCATATTGTGAACAAAATATGAAAATCTTTTATTCATTACTGATGTTCTTCAACAGCTAAGTATATCCACTACCTGTTCATATTGCATTAAAAAAACAATTTCACAAAACTGTGAAAAATACTTTAAAATATATTGTCAGCAATTTTCAAAGTTTTAATCTTGGGTGTGCATTTTGTCCTGTAGGGAATCACCTTTAAAATGAGGAAGGAGATACTGAGATGTTTTTCAAATATTTTACTGTATCACTTTTTATAGGATGTTAATATAAGCCAAATCCTGAGGCCTGGAGTAAAATTCCTTAAAGAATTGCAATTGTATTTTTAATACTCAGAGACATAAATAAAGATAATGAGCCAGGTCCATTGTTAATTGACCATATTTATTCACATATAATGGATCTTCCCAGCACTAGTTTCCTCAGCTTTCTACTCCTTTCCCCTGACTCAACTTCATATTCTTCCAATCTTCTAGAACAGTTTTGAGGATATGATGGAATATTAAAAATCTCTTCTACTAGCAGACCATCATCTGCCAGCTGTATGACATTTTAGGATCCCCTCTCCTTTTTCAACTGCCCTGAAAATGTAAGAATCACCACTGTTTCGTTCTCCAGAGTATTCTTTCAATAAAAAGTGTACTCCAAAGGAAATGGCTACTATATAAATTATATAGGCCCAAAATGCAATTAAGCATTCAGGCATTGGACTGACCTCTGCTATATCAGCATTTTGGAAGATTTGCTGACTGAAATATGGACTCTTGAGTATTGCTGTACATTATTATTTGATTTTAGCCTTCAATCCTGTTTTTGCTGATTTCAAATTGTATTCTCCTTCAATGCCACATATTTGTTTCTAGGCACAGAAATTTCCACTTCTCAGTGATTAATGTCTCCTCATCAATAGCACAAGGTACCAACCTTCAGCAATGTAGTCATTGAACAGCTAGTATATTTTCTTTTATAGGGAGGTGAATATAAATTCTCAGCATCTGAAAAAACTGAATCTAAACTTGCAGTTATTTAATATAATAGATGACCAATGTCATCTGCACGGAATTAAAAAAGGCAAGATGGTAGATGTAGTAACTCAATGCAAACTCTTCCTCTCTGTGCACATGTCCAGAAGGGGCTTGCATTGGAATGCCACCTGCACCATCTGGCTTTTTTTTGGTCCTCATTCCCCATGGATGCCATTGTGGAATGGAGGTGTTAGCCATTCGATTTGCCACAAAAGAAATTAATCAAGAGTGTAGCTTTATTGAAAAATCCATCTATGCATGGTAGAAACAACATCAGTTCTGGGACTTTTCCCATGAAAACTCACATAGCTAACTCCCTTTTCCCCTCCAGGCACTCAAAGTTCATAGTTCACCAATTGAGTTCAGATCTTTTGCTTTGGGAAAAGCTGTCTGCTTTGGTCAAAACATTCTTCATCATGTTAGACACCAAAAATAGTCACAAATTGAAATCCACTCTGTTTGAGTTACAAATAGAAAAGAAGTTTATTAGACTTCACAACAAAGTTTAAAAGGTAACGGTTTGCAAAGCGTGGTGGATTCAGGAAGGCAAAATGCAATGTAGCCAAGCACTGAACCACACCCCAAATTCCAAAATCACATATTATTATACATCCTATCGCGACGCCCCATTCCCTCCCCCATGGCCCCATTGGCTTAGGCTTTGGAGGTTACAATCTATCAGAAGCGCCTAAACAGAATACATTATCTCCACCCCTGTTTGCTTACATTATACTAATAAGATCCCTCCCCTACTATCCTGTTTACTCAGACCATATATGTACATGCTTATCAATTTAAAGGAGAGATGTCTCCCATCTTCTACACCTGTTACATCAGGTAGGGCTACCAGGCACCAGAAGGTACTTAAAAACAATTCCTAGATGATGACTCACACTGGGCCCCACAGTAACTCCTGTTCCCCCCCCCACCTCCACCTGAGGCTTATATTTTCCCTATATACTCAAAGCATCTACTCAGGCAATTGATTATAAAATGATAATTATAAAATATAATATATGATTACATGATAATACTAAAAGTATATATATATTTATTTTTAAATGTCCTCGTACTTCCAGTTTTTCCACAAATCTACCCTTTTTCTTTTTACCCATTCTTTAAAAATAAAACATTATTTTTTTTCCAAATTTCTTTGTATTTCTAATGTCTTTTCATATTCTTCAAAATTAGTTTCTTCATTGATTTGTGTAAGGTTATACATTTTTCTCCCTAGTGATTCCTTCTGATTACTATGTATTATTCCTTCTACAGTACTTTAAACAATATTCTTAATGAGAGGGATGAGACAGGGTAAAAACATTAATCCTATAATGATTATTACCATCATGAATAAAGCTTGCTTCCAGTTTCTAAAAATTCCCCCTAAAAACCCCCTTCATCTAAAAGACCAGTCCAGGTCTGGACTGGAACATGTACAAGTTGTCTCATTTCAGTGGATAATTGCTTCACCACTGAACCTGTTTCATCTATTTGTAAGCAACAATTAGTTAAATTAAACTTCCCACATACCCCTCCTTCTTTAGCTAATATATAATCTAATGCTAATCTATTTTGATACACAGCCACTCTAAGCTTATCAATAGTTTTTGCCAAAATATTTTAAGCAGTATCTATTTTTTCTTCCAACTAATTCTAATACAGCCTGTAATCGTATTATTCTATTTAACATATAAATGGGTGTTCTATATCCCCAAGATCCATCTTCAGCCCAGGTAGCAGGCCCATTGATGCACACAGTCTTTTCTGGTGTCCATTCATTTCCTCTCATTGTTTCAACATTACATGGAATACCTGAATCAATAGATCTTTTATAGCGATCTAAATAATCATAAATAGGGATTCCCAGTGTCTGTTTAGTTCTTAGGGGTAATAAAAAGAAAGATGGTTTAATCCATCCTAAAACACATGACCCACCCCAGTTACCAGGCAAACTTTCATAGGCTTGGTTCCCACAAATCCAATACAAACTTAAATAAGTTCCCCATTCAGTGAAATTAAACTTTTCTGGTTCACTTTGATTCCCTACAGTTGTCCATTGTTTATATTTACCATCCCAATATCCCAAACATATCAAATCTCCTACCTTTTTAGTTCCATTTCTCTTAAAACAGTTTTTTCCTACTAGATTAGTACTTAGGGTCCATATAATCTGTTGGTCATTTCCAGATCGCCCTGTAATATTTCTTTGCTTAGTCATGTTGTTTAAGATCACTGGGTCTGCTTCTAATGCTTCCCAAGGCCACTGTTGTCCCATATTAGTTCCTCCACATATAAAACAATTTTTAATGGTCAAGGTTTTGGCTATATCCTCGGCCATATCCATAAACAAGTTACTTGCTTTCTCACTAATATCTATTTCCTTTTCCAATTGTCTTAAAGTATTATAAACTGACCATCCTATTGTTTTAACTTCCCCTGTATATATCTTTTCTTTCTTTATAATAATATAAGTTGATGGATCTAGTCCTGTACCATCTATCCCAAATCCATAACTTACTACTTCAGCATGGTTCTTAGTGATTTCCAACTCCATTGTATTAGTTCCGTATATATTTTTAAATTTGGTAATAACACTACACCCTGGATAACCCCCTCCAGTGTAATCACACACACATCTCCACCCCAAACATTTAATAGATCCCCCACAAGGTGACCATTGATTGGGGTTCCCATTTGCAAAGTTCAAATTAGTGGGACATATATATTTATGATTTTGTTTATATGCTGAGATCCAACTAGAGTCCCCATACTTTGTGGCGAGAGGAGATAAACTTAATATTGTACATGCATCAAACTGTATTAAAGCCTTTTCTGTCCCCTTTTCTAATATTTTAGTGGAATTAACATATATTAATCTTCCTTCACCTTCAGGTCTCTGTCTCATCCTATTTTAGCTAGACCACATATATACTAAAATTTAAATATGTTGGCATTGATGGATCATAACATTGTATCTTCTTGTCTTCTCCCTTACAAACTGAATATTGTGTTTTATTTAATTAGCACATAGATTGAAATATACATCCCTTAGGTGCTTGGGTATGATATACCAAGGTTTTAATTACTGTGTTCCCTTTGGTGGCGTTCATAATGCAGGCTTCTGTTTTTGTTGCTTTCCTATATCCTAGATAACCATGGACAAGTATACAACACTAAGGATTTGCATTTTAGTCACTCTTCCTCTATATCTAAACTGTGATATTTTCTAAAGGCTTCTCATTGTTCTTCCTGGACTAGTTGAATTGAAGGAGTATCTTTTAAAATATATCTTACCACTCCGGTCAATATCTCAGGATATTCTTCAAAATGTTTCAATGTCTTCTCAATGAGTACTATATCACATGGTCCAAAATGTTCTTCACATCCAGTACATCTTACACAGTCAATACAATGGAAACACAACAACAATCAACATAGCATTTACAGTCACAGTACCAACACATCAGGTAAAAGATTAAGTTCTTGAATCTCTCGAGGCTGTTGGGATTCTGGGCACAATATGGGTGTGAATTTGTTCCTGGTGTGGCACGCAATCACAACTCTATAAGACAAAGAAAGATAGCAAACCCTAATACCACCTAGTCATATAGATCTGGTTTGGACATTTGGTTACTGTCGCTTGAGAGTGATCTTTAAAGGTTCTGGATTTGGAACACAGGTCCACTGTTCTTTTGGTTCAGCTACGTGGTCCCTTCACTTGTGTGTAGTGGGTCCACCCTTTTTATGCCGTTTGGACTGTAGTTTCAGAGGTCAGCAACACTTGAAATGATCCGTCCCACTTAGGTTGTAATTTTTCCTCCTTCCAACTCCGGATCAGGACCCAATTCCCCACACAGATCTTATGGACATGAAACTCCAGAGGCGGCATCTGCGCCAGCAATCCTTGTCTCCTGCAATGATCAAGATACTGGGACAATTTATGCACATAATTTCTCATCACTTTATATCTGGTAGATAATGAATCCATGCAGATTTCTCCAGGTGGGAATCCCACCCCGTATAACAATTCATACGGTGATAGTCCTATGTCTTTCCTTGGCTGAGTCCTAATTCTTAGAAGAGCCAAAGGTAAGCATTTGATCCAGGGCATCTTTGTTTCCAAGATTAGTTTACTGATTCCTTTTTTTAATTTTCCATTAGCCCGTTCCACTTTACCACTAGAGGGCGCATGCCAAAGTGTGTGAAACTTCCAATTTATTCCCTATGCTTCCCAATATTTTGCAAGATTTTCCCAGTAAAATGACTACCTTGATCACTATCAATTTGGGTTACTAATCCATATCTTGGAATAATGTGTGCCAATAGGATTCTAGTAACTGTTTTAGCTGTAGCATTCACGGTGGGAAAAGCCTCAATCCATCCTGTTAAATGATCAATGATTACAAGGAGATATTTATAGCTACCCACTTTAGGTAGCTCAGTACACATTGAAATGGTTTAAATGTTGGAGGTCTTCCCCCTGCTGGCTGCTTTCTTAAAGCCTGTCTGTTTATTTTCTTACAGACTAAACATGATTCCACCACTTGTGCTGCAATTGTATAAATTCCAAAGCAAGCATACAATTTCAAAATACAATCTACTAGAGCCTATGTTTCCCAATGACTTACTTCATGCAAATATGCTATTAATTCTTTAGCAATCACTTTATTGATTACTTGTCTCCCCCTGCTTGTAGTATTCACTCTTTTTCTTTATCATTAAATATTGGAACTTCAATCTTTGTTTTAACTTCCAGTATCAATGTGTTCATAATAATTTCATTGCTTGCTAATTTAGCTTCCTCATCAGCCAATTGATTTCCAATTATTTCAAAGGAATTTCCTTTTTGGTGTGCATTAACATGTACTACTGCAATTCTTTTAGGTTGTTCTAAGGACATTAACACTTGCTTAATTAATTCCTCATGCACTAGTTCTTTCCCTTTACTGTTGATCATTCCCCGATCCCTCCATATTTTTCCAAAAGTATGGACTACACCAAAGGCATATCTAGAGTCTATATATATATTTCCTATTTTACATTGCAACAATTTCAATGCCTGGTTTAGGGCATATAATTCGCATGTTTGTGCTGACCAATTAGTAGGTAGGCTACCAGCCTCCAATAATTCCTTGGTGTGTCCATTCACAATAGCATATCCATTTTTCCTAATCCCTGCCTCTACTTGGGACGACCCATCTATAAACAAAGATTCCCCTTTTTCCAAGGGAAATTCCTCCAGATCAGGTTGTATTTTTGTTTGTATCTCAATTACTTCAGAGCAGAAATGCTCCAAATTCTCTTCACTTGTTTGCAATTTATTCACTAAAAATTGAGCCGGATTCACATTGTGATCCGTTGTCAAAACCAAATCATTCTTTTCCATTAAAATAGCCTCATATTTTAAGATTCTCGAATCAGTCAACCAGCAACCTACTTTTTGCTGGAGAATTATTCTTACTGGTGAGGTGTGCTCACAATGAGAGCCCCCCCAAAAGTTAATTTTCTACTTTCCTGTACTAAGAGGGCCATTGCTGCTATAGCCTGTACACAGACTGGCCATCATCTTACTACAGGATCCATAATTTTTGACAGAAATGCTACAGATTTGTGTTGACCCGCCCAGGTTTGAGTCAAAACCCCATAAGCTATTCCCTCTTCTGCATTTACAAACAAATGAAAGGGTTTGTCTAGATTGGGAAGGCTCAACACAGGAGCTTGGGTCAAAGCTTCTTTAATTTGCTTAAAATCTTCTTTTTCCTGATTTTCCCACTCCAAATCCCATGGTTCAGATTCAATCAATTTAGCATACAGAGGTTTAGTTAGGGTAGCATAGTTGTCAACCCATAACCTACAATAGCTACCAGACCTAAGAATTTTCTCAGCTCCTTTTTATCTTTAGGAAGAGGCTGTTTAAACACCCCTTCAATTCTATCCAGTGTTATTTTTCTACTGCCTTTACTTATCAAATGTTGCAAATACTTCACCTCTCTTTCAACATATTGTAGTTTCTTATTAGAAACCCTCAACCCCTTTTCTCCCAAAACTTCTAGCAATTTATCAGTTGCCTCTTTGATATTGTTTCTTTCCTGAGATTAATAAATCATCTACATATTGTATCATGTATGTTTCTCCAGGGACCTGGAATTGTTCCAATACCTGTTCTAAAACTTGTCCAAACAGGTTTGGAGATTCCGTAAATCCCTGAGGAAGCACAGTCCATTGATATTGTTGTTTCCTTCCTGTAAAGGGATTCTCCCATTCAAATGCAAATAATGGACATGATTCCTCTGCTAAGGGGCAAGCCCAAAATGCATCTTTTAAATCTACCACACTGAACCATTGGTGTTCAGGTGGAATGTGTCCCATCAAAGTATATGGGTTTGGAACTACAGGGTGTCTAGTCCTCACAATCTGGTTCAGGAAGATAAGATCCTGTACCACCCAAAACATTCCATCTGATTTCTTTGCATGAAGTTTAGATGTATTAAAAGGTGACATGGTAGGTTCTAATAACCCATCTTTCACTAGACCATCAATTACAGTTTGGAGACCTTTCCGACCCTCCATTGACAATGCATATTGTCTCTGTCTTACTACTTCATCTGGATTTGTTAATTCTATTTTTAGGGGTTCAATTTGCAAAGCTCCCCTGTTTTCTTCCCCAACCCACACCTTTGGGTTTATACTCTTTTCATCTTCTTCTGTTAATACAAAAAGAGGATTCGTTTCTTTCTTAAATGTAATTGTAAGTCCCAATTTTCCTAATACATCTCTCCCTAGCAAATTCACACCCACTTCTGGTATATACAATAATCTTGCCCTTATACACTCTCCATTTTCTTGCCCAATTTGAATTTCCTCCAATTCTTTTACATAAAATCCTTCTCCCTTCACTCCAGACACTCTAACTTGATTCTGACTAATCTTCATGGTAGGTATTAAAATTGACACTGAAATGCGCGCTGCCCCAGTATCAATCAAGAACACTACCTTTTCCTTCTCGGGTCCCACTTCTAAATTTATCAAGGGCTCGTTGATAAAAATAAACGGCCCCTGACACCCCTAGTAAAAGCTAGCCTCTTCTTCCCACACTGAGTAAACTTGCTGCTCTCTCTCACATTTAAGGCAATCTTTTTTAAAGTGGCCTTTCATTCCACATCCAAAGGACGTTCTTTCCCTATTCCGGAATCCACCCAGAAATTCCTCCAAATCCCCTTCCTCTACTCCCATTAACATATTGTTTTTTTTTCATCCCTCCTATATCTTGTCTCAAAGGGACTCTTCTTATCCCCAAACTCTCTTTTAGGAGGTTTTTCCTGCTTCATCACTTGCTGTACTGTTGCTACCATCATCTTACTTTTCTGCCTTACTTTCTCTGTATCCCTCTGAACATACACTTCCTGAGCCTCCTTCAAAAAATTGTTTATTGGTTTGGCTGTCCAATCATCCAATCTTTGCAACTTCTTATTTATATCGGGCCATGATTTAGTCACAAATTGAACTCTGACTAGTGGTACATTGGCAGCATCATTTGGATCCATCCCTGTATATTTACGCATACACTCTTTTAGTCTTTACAAAAAGGCAGCTGGGGATTCGTCCTTCTCTTGTTCTATCTACAATGCCTTGGTCATATTTTGAGCCTTGGGTATAGCTTCTTTCATTCCTCTGATTATAAGATTTCTCATGTCTTCCATATTTTGTCTTCCAGCCAAATCATTGTTATCTCAATTTGGTCTGGCCAGAAGAAGTTTTACATCTGCCACTACCCCCCATTTGGGTGTTCCCTAGTGCAAATTGCTGCTGCTGCAGTTCTAATTAATTGTCTTTCTTCGGCCAAAAATAAAGCATTTAAAATAGCTGTCAGTTCATCCCAAGTATAAATGTTTGGTCCCAGTAAATTATCCAACTGTTCAGCAGACCTCAGCAGGTCCTCAATTAGATTTTTCAATTCTTTTTAAAATTCCCTTACTTCAGATGCCTTTAATGGCTCTTGGAAAAAGCTTATTCTTGGGGCGTTGTTTCCATCTACCCCATTCGTCACCTCCCTTAAGGGGAAGGCTGATATATCTGGATGCTTATGAAAGGGAAAATTTTCAATGTCCTTTTTACACTGTTCTATTTCTTTTCTCAAATTTTTATATTTTGTATCCTCCTTCTCTGGCTGTTGTTGGGGCCAGGTTCCAATTCCTCCCACTGCTCCTTGAGGCATCGCCAGTGGGGGTTGAGCTGGAGCCTGATTTGGATTATAGGGTGGTGGACGATAGTCCCTATATCTTGGTTTTGTTTCTTCCTCTTCATCTAATTCTTTTTCCTCCTCTTTTTGTACCATTACAGGGACAGTTGATAATGTATGTACCCCAGAGATCCATTTATCTGGATTCCAAATTAAAGCATAATCCAACTCATTATCTAATGAATTGCACACTTTTCTCTGCACATAATCATATAAATTTTGGCACACAAAATAGTTCCCATTCGCAGCCACTCTACTTTCTCATCCTCCCACCAAACAAAGCAACACATATTCCCCATATCTTCTTTAGTCAAATTTAATCTATCAACTATCCTATTATAAGGCGACTTACCCCAATTACTTAGTAGGAGTCCTAAAGGACTCTCTGTGTCTATGCTCAACCTGGGATTCTTCCTAATTTTCTTCACACATTTTCTTTCGGGAACACACTGAGAATTGCCCAGTTTTACCGTACAGTTTTACCGTACTGTTATCTTATCCTTACCAACCTAATGAGACCACCTTTCGCTTCACCAAGCTCCTGCTTCCCCCTTTTTCTCCACCAATCCTCTCATGAGAGTATGGCAAATACTGAAGGGTCAGCTCCCACTCCATCTTGCTACTTGGGATGTCTAAAGCACTCCTCTCACAGATCTCACATTCAAACAGTCTTACCCAGTCCTCCCCCAACCGCCTAGGTGGTTTTTTATATCTGGCCACCCCAGATTTTACTCACCTAGGTTCGTGCAAGAAGTTACCCGGTTTTTCCTGAGGCTGGCAATCTCTATTCCTGGTTTTCTCACCCTTGGTTTCTATTTGCAACTTCTATTTAGGTTTGTAGGGCTGTAGGGTTTGCTCAGCACTCACCACTCCTGGAGTTCGAAGCTGGACTATCGAATTCGACAGGGCATGCCTTCCACATCGTCCTCCAAGTTAGGGAGTCCCGAACGAAATCCCATTGAGTTCCGGGTTTTGGCACCAAAAATTATTAGACACCAAAAATAGTCACAAATTGAAATCCACTCTGTTTGAGTTACAAATAGAAAAGAAGTTTATTAGACTTCACAACAAAGTTTAAAAGGTAACGGTTTGCAAAGTGTGGTGGATTCAGGAAGGCAAAATGCAATGTAGCCAAGCACTGAACCATACCCCAAATTCCAAAATCACATATTATTATACATCCTATCGCGACGCCCCATTCCCTCCCCCATGGCCCCATTGGCTTAGGCTTTGGAGGTTACAATCTATCAGAAGCGCCTAAACAGAATACATTATCTCCACCCCTGTTTGCTTACATTATACTAATAAGATACCTCCCCTACTATCCTGTTTACTCAGACCATATATGTACATGCTTATCAATTTAAAGGAGAGATGTCTCCCATCTTCTACACCTGTTACATCAAGTAGGGGTACCAGGCACCAGAAGGTACTTAAAAACAATTCCTAGATGGTGACTCACACTGGGCCCATGGTAACTCCTGTTCCCCCCCCCCCCGCCTCCACCTGAAGCTTGTATTTTCCCTATATACTCAAAGCATCTACTCAGGCAATTGATTATAAAATGATAATTATAAAATATAAAATATGATTACATGATAATACTAAAAGTATATATATATATTTATTTTTAAATGTCCTCACTACTTCCAGTTTTTTCCACAATCACTTGGCCTTGTTAGATGTCTCCCTGGCAACAGATAGATCACTTGCATTCCATAGCCTCCCTCCTCCTTAGGAATTCACCATCCTCCTCCCGTCATTGTTTGGCAAAGCTGCAAGTAAAAGCAGGTACAGGCAATTATGGAGTGAATCTGCTGACCCTCCAGAAGAATGATAGCCCTGAAAAATAAAACACAATAGTGTACACATTATACATTACTGTACACTTCCAAGACCACTCTCACTTGGATGCTTAGCATGAAATCTTCACATTTGTTGCTGCCATCCATTCTGCATCGGCTAGAGGGTAGCCTCTCCATAATACTAAATAATGCAGTTTCCCTCTATGGTACTGGGAGTTAAGAATCTCTTTAATTTTATAGAGTTCCTCTCCTTTGACCAGAATAGGAGGAGGAGACACTTCTGCAGCTGGTCTTAATCCAGACCTGTGGAAAGGTTTCAGCAGGCTGCAGTGAAATACAGGGTAGACTTACTTAAGGCTTTTTGGCAAGTGCAATTCTACAGTAACCAGATTTATAAGGCCATATATATTTTGCACCCAGCATTTTACAGGGCCACCTCAGGTTGAAAAATTTTGTAGACTTTATCTAGCACCTTGAATTCCCCCTATAGTGGCTTTTTTTTGTCTGCTTGCTTCTTTTGTGTTTCCCTAGCTTTCTGTAATGCCCTGTGCAATACCCCTTATGTTTCCTTTAAGATTTCCATCCACTCAGCCAATGATATCGAGGACAGGTGTCCCTGATGGATCTCTAGCATCAACACAAACTCCACCCTACTAGCAATCTTGAAAGGGATAAATCCTATGCATGGAGTTATTATATGCCACTTCTGGAAAAGGCAGGAATTTGGCCTGAGTGGTCTGTTGGTAATTGATATAACACCTCAGGTATAGCTCTAACACTGAATTGGCTCATTCACAAGCTTCATTGGTACTGGGATGGTAGGCAGAGCTAAGTCCCTGTGAGAAGCCAGCTTAAGGAATTCCTGCCAAAATTTTGTGGTAAACTGCACCCCACAGTCTGAGATGATGCACTTTGGACTCTGTATAGTCAGTAGATATGAACAGCTTTGTCGGGGTTTGGGTGGAAGGAATCTTTGGGCATGCCATGAGATGTGCCTGCTTGGAGAATAAATAATGGTTAAAATTACAATGTTCCCTATGCTCTCTGGAAAGTCCATAATAAAGTCCCTTCCAAGGGTTCATTGGGTTCGCTACTGGCTGTAATAACCGGGGGGGGGGTTTTCCCAGAAATTCAATCTGCCTCCAGAAGCAGTGAATGCTCCAACATTGGAAGTTTTTAAGAAGAAACTGGACAGCCATTTGTCCAAAATGGTACAGGGTTACCTGCCTGAGCAGGGGGTTGGACTTGATGACCTCTGAGGTCCCTTCTAACTTTATTATTATTATTATTATTATTATTATTATTATTATTATTATTATTATTATTATTATTATTATGGATCATTGCACAGTCAGCCAGATGTTCAGACTGGATTTGGCATTTTGTCTACCTATCGAGGAAGAAATGGAGGTAGTGACAGATTTTATTTTTCTGGGCTCCAAGATCACCTCAGATGGGGACTGCAGCCAAGAAATTAAAAGACGCTTGCTCTTGGGGAGGAAAGCTATGGCAAATCTAGACAGCATACTAAAAAGCAGAGACATCACCCTGCCAACAAAAGTGCGTATAGTCCAGGCCATGGTTTTCTCAGTTGCAATGTATGGCTGTGAAAGTTGGACCATAAGAAAGGCTGAGCGCCAAAGAATTGAGGCCTTTGAACTATGGTGCTGGAGAAGACTCCTGCGAGTCCCTTGGACTGCAAAGCTTTCAAACCGGTCAGTCCTAGAAGAGATCAACCCCGACTGCTCTTTAGAAGGCCAGATCCTGAAGTTGAAACTCAAATACTTTGGCCACCTAATGAGAAGGAAGGACTCACTGGAAAAGGGCCTAATGCTGGGAAAGATTGAGGGCAATAGAAGAAGGGGACGACAGAGAATGAGATGGCTGGATGGAGTCACTGAAGCAGTAGGTGTGAACTTAAATGGACTCCAGAAGATGATAGACGACAGGAAGACCTGGAGGAACATTGTCCATGGGGTTGCGATGGGTCGGACATGACTTCGCAATTAACAACAACAACTACCTATCGAATCCTTACCCAAGACCTGGGATAGGCAGATGTGGATGTTTGATGGTATTACAGATATCGTCGCAGGATGGAAGCAGTTCCTAGTAAGGCTGCCTTTTGCAATTGACTAATAGTGAATTTGTCAGTGCCAATGGTGTTCAAGTGGTGCTCCAGTTGTTTTGGGATTGCACCCAAGGTGCCTATTACTATTGGTACTACCCTTGCTTGCTTTTGCCACAGTCTTTCTATTTCTATTTGTAGGTCTTCGTATTTTGTTATCTTCTCCAGTCCTTTCTCGTCTATTCTGCTGTCTCCAGGCACTGCCACGTCCACTATCCAGACTTTTTTGTCTTTCTTATCGACAATTCTTAAGTCCGGGGTGTTATGTTGCAGGTATTATTATTATTATTATAAGCTTCTATATCCTTTTTCATCTTTGGCCACCAGAATTTCTCTTCACTAGGTTCAGGGTCTTTACAAACCTAAAATGTCCCTCTGCCGGTAAGGACCTGCCTCAGCTAGTGCTCCCAAGAAAGCAGAACTCTTGAAACTGGCATTGTTTCAACAGGAACTTTTATTGAGAGTTAATGATAGCAGGAGAGCTAGGCAAGATCTAAATTCTTCCTGCATAAAACATTACATTAAAACTGCCCTTTCAAAGCCCTCCCCAGTGTCCAACCATCTGGTTTTTTTAGCCAATACATAGGTGTGAAATTGTTATGGGAACCGGGTGATAAAATGCAGTTCCCAAGGTTTCAGTTCCTCTGTGGTCCCGTCTCATCCAACTGGAGATAAGGCAGAGGATCGCAGGCACATTCCTCCTGTCAATGCTGCAAATATTGTATATTCTTGCTTTTGACAATATGCAGAACTGTCTGGTATTTATGGGGTTAATACAGAGCAGAGGGGGTGTGGGGGTAAAGCCTGGGAAAGAAAGAGGAAGAAAACCTTTGACTTTCACACTAATTGGATAATGTGATATATGACGGCTAATTTAGGGAGGGAACATGCTGATAATTTAACTGCTCAGAGGAAGAGAACTTAGATCCTAGCATCCCTCCATTGTGCCTGTGCCAACATTTTGTAACAATAAAAGACTTTTAAGAAAATAAATGCCTAGAAGTTTTTGAAATGTTTCATTATCTGGAACCATAACAACATGCTAGGATCTCACATTCTTTTCAAATGACCTGGGGTCCCAAACTCCACCCACTGCCTCCAGGCTTGAGAGGAGCTGGTAAAGATTTGGGGAAGAAGAAAAAAAATCTCTGTCATGAGACAGGGGAGTTTACTTGAAGTCAGCATGCTGCGGAAAGATGAACTTTGGCCGACGAACACGAATCAGTGGAACAGCAGCCAGCCAGCTGAGGGAGAAAGAACTTGGCAGTTTGCCCAGCCGAGAGCAAAGGCTTCAAAGGCAGAATGCAAATATAACAAAGTGTGGGATGAGTCACTGGAAATATTTCAAAACGCAGAAGTGAAAAGCAGCTCTCAATTCCTGGATAGCCCTCCCTATAGCCCTATACCCCTCCCATAGCCCAGCAGGAAGCCTGTCAGATTCTGCCTTCCCCAGCCAGGGACCTGAACCCTGAAGAGAGGGGAGTTCCAGTCTGAGGCATCTGCAGCAATGGGTAGATGGGTTTCCCCAGCAGATGAATGATCAGCAGCAGCTCAGCATACCACAGCTAATAGAGGCCTTGCAGGGGCTTGGGGTGATACAGAAGCCAGGAGATCAGCAGCTGGTGGGAGAATGATCACAGCAAGGAGACTGGCCACAGCCCCCAAACATGCAACCCCTGGACATAAATCTGCAGCCAGGATGGGGCCAGGAGCGAGGAGATTGGCCACAGCCCTCAAATGTGCAACCCCTGGAGACAAATCTGCAGCCAGGATGGGGCCAGCAGCGAGGAGATTGGCCACAGCCCTCAAACGTGCAACCCCTGGAGACAAATCTACAACCAGGGTGGGGCCAGCTGCAAAGCCCCAGTGGGGGCCACAGCAGCCTGTGTTGGCACCCCCTTTCAGAGCAATCTTCGATGGGGACCCAGAGAAGCTGATTTTTTTCCTCAACCAAGTGCGTTGTCACTTGAATCGCTGGGCCTATCTCTATACGGAACCAGGGGCCATGGTTGATGTCATTGCATCCAACCTGGAGGGAGAAGCATCTGAATGGCTGAACAATCTATATAGCGAGCAAGCCCCTGAATTGGAAGATCCCCACCTCTTTTTCTTAAGACTGAAAGAACGATTTGAGGACCCATCCATTGGCCTCAAAGCAGCAGGACAAATTCACAAAATAAAACAAGCTGGGAGGCCTGCCCTGGAGTATGTGCGAGAATTCCGCAAGATAGCAGATTAAATAGAGGGGTGGCCTGAGCAGTGTCTCATCCATTACTTCATTGAGAGATTAGATGATCACCTCTGTCAGGCCTGCATCTATCGAGAAGTACCTGATCAGCTACAGAGGTGGTACCAGACAGCCATGAAGCTAGATGTTAAGCTCTCTCACTATAAGAAGCCTCCCCCACATGAACCTGATCAGCAACCAGAACTACCCAGACAGCAATCACCCCCACAAAAGCCTTCAACTACTGCCCTTCCTTTGAGTG